AATGAAATAATGCCCAGTTGGAATAAAGACCAGGCAATGCTATTTATATATTGATGACACGAAATAGAGGAAACCAAACTCAACCTTTGCCAACAGAGCAACTGGAAAAAGGTGGGGGGGGGCAGGATGGAACCAACAAAAATGTTAAAAGATCGAGAAAACAGTACCTGCGGGGAAGAGCTAAGGAACTGGGCATGTTCAGTCAAAAAATAGCTGAGGAGAGAGGAATCTGTCTGCCTGAATCTGAGATGTTATACAGAAGCCATAAGCTAATCATTTACAGCAAACAAGAACAGAGTAGTAGGAGACAAAGAATGGGAAATTCAGGTTGACTATTTCCTGAAACATTTCCTGAAACTATTTCCTAACATCTGAGCAGTAGGACAAGCTGCCAGCAAAAGCAGTAGAACTACCTTTTGTAGAGAAGGGGCTTGTGTCTCTAGATTTTGCTGGTTTGTCCTCATTAGCCCAATGAAAAACAAGACAAGGAGCAAACCACCACAAAGGAGAAGAACCAACTAAACTGTAACTTCAGCTGTTTCATACCAACTGAACTGTAACTGTACTGTTCCATACAAGAAAAAATGTGTCCTGACTACTCATAAATCAATTTAGACTGGAAGTTAGAGTATTTCTAGCCAGTGAAGCAGTTCGTTTCTACCTCACCATCCAACGTGTCAGCAAGGATGGGGTTCAGGAAGCATCTGCATAAACTAAAGACAATGGATATTGCTGAAGTGTTTTTGTCAGGTTGCTGTCAGGGACAGAGGACTTCATTATCCTGCAGAAACTTTGATTCCTAGAGCCTATATTCCTAAAACTCTTAGGGAGGGAGCCTTGCTGGCAGCTAACTGATCAGACAGTTTCACTTTTCGCTTCTCTGTAAAAGGGAACAGAATCTCTTTTGCCTAACAAAAAGAGGAGCTGATGAGATACAGCATGATGGTTTAGGGCTCAGCTCTGAAAGCTGTATGTTTCAACTGGAATCTTTTCTTAGCAAGGCTTGGGCCCTTTTCCCCCAAAGAAAACAATGTCAATTGAGATTCACTGAGGGAAATGAGTAAATTTTTTTAGGGAAAAATCCTGCAGGGAAGGTCATAGCTATTTATTTTTGATTGGGGCCTCAAGTAATGACATTGAATTAACATCTGTGATTGCTGTAGCAGTAAGAAGACATTGATGCACAACAGTGCAGAAACCACTTCATGGTGATGGGGTCTGTGAAGGAAATAATCGGGTTTTGACACACAGAAAAATACAACATGTCTTTTTCTGCTAAAGCATCATTTGCATGTTCAAGGTGAATAGTGTTACTGGAGGAAAACAGGGCATCTGTTCAGTCTACAACTGCTGCTGTTAGGATTCAAGTTTCATGGATATTGAAGTCCTAATTTACTCTTGATACATATGGCAGGTAGCTTGGGCTGGAGGGGAGAATGTATGTTCCAAACTGTCTTTTTTTTGCCTTTGCAGTGTACCTTTGAACAAGATTTGTGTTCAGTAGCATTAATTTCTCCATTAAACTAAAGCCCAAACTCTTCTGCGTTGCTCACAAATAACTGAGTAGCATGTGTGTGCTGTGGGAGGTAGGGTAGAGGATGGAGTAGAAGTGTTAGAACAAGCCCAGCACAGTAGGTGGCAGAACGCAGAAGCACAGCAGCTAACTTGGCCTGCCTGAAGGTGGTGGGAAATCTCCAGCTGGAACGGCTTTAATGATTAAATGAGGTGTCTGGAAAGATTTGCACAATGTGAGCTTGATGGACTTCAGGACATATTGCAAAAGCCATTTATTTGATAGCTTGAGTAGCTGTTCTGCAAGGCTTGGCAGGAGGAATGAAAGGTTCTTCCTTTGGAGTTTTGATACAAGTGGAGATGAAGATTGGGGGGGAGTCTGGGTTTTCCACTGACTTTTAGTTTATGCTAAACTGCACTCCTTTTCAGGATGTAGCTCTTGTGAGATGTTACGAGCTATAGAACTTGAATTAGGTACGCATCTTTTGGCCTAATGAAGAAAAGACATGAAAAGTTGGGGATAAGTCGTGAACTAAGGGCACTTTGTTTTCTTGACTGGTTTAGTTAATCCACTACTTCTATGTAATTACATTTTGCTGCTGGATGGTTATCATTTGCACCTGTGAGCCAAAGTATCTCTGGGGCACTCTAGAGTTCTTTGTATAGGGATTTAATTATTTAAGTGATTGCCTCATGTGAAATACTTTAGTTGCTTCCAGGGTTTGACACAGGTTTCTGCATGATAGTGTGCTGTGCACTAGAAACCAATTTAAAATGCCAGAATGCACAGTGTTTAAGGCTTCTTGACTTGTTAGGCACAGGTTTTCACAGTTTCCTTGCAATTGCTGCCCTTTTTCCCTAAGTTTGAAGGCGTCCTGTGGAAATGGCTGCAACTGATACAACCATGATACTGACCTAGAGAATTTGTGTTTGTACCTACAAGCAGACCAAGGGTACATTGAATCCCAGACATATTCACACACTTGCCTGTATCTTTTTGGGGAAAAAAGTAAGTGTTTGAGACCTTTTTTTTCTTTTTGGTGTCCCCTTTGTGTGTTCAGTGTTTGCTTCTAAAGTCATTTATGTAGTTCTGCACTGCAGTAGTTCAGCAGTGGGCCTGTTAATGCATACAATGTGCCCTTCCAGCAAAGCCCTTTAGATGTTTTCACTGTAGCATACAGCTGCCTTGGAAAGATTTAAACTGCACCAAAAATTAAAGCATTTTTTCTAGTTCACCTGGAGGGGAAAAATGGGCATTGCTTTTTTGACAGGAGATGAAAGAAATAGAGAAAAAATATTTTTGGGCCACACATCAGAGCACTTATTTACAGTAGTTCTCATCATGGCATTTAACTTGCCCTCTGAATCTTCATTTTTCATGTATCAGATACCTACAGCATAGAGCTTTACTGAGCAGAAAATGCAGTTGTTCATGTATTTTCAAAACCAAGATTCAGCTGAATTGAAATGGGAAACAGCTACCAACTTTTTTACATCTCTTTTTGATTGTGAAAGAAACCGTTGACTATTCTAGCAAAATAACTTTTACTTCAAACCTCAATCTGTGTATCAATCAATGTTAGGCATTTAGAAAAAATAATAATAAAATTAAGACTTGCAATTTATTCTTCAAAGGTTAATTTTGTTCTACACCTCACTTAGGTAAATGTGTCCTGCTTACAGATGAAGACAGTCATGCAAAGATGTCCGATTCAAATGTCTTACTGTCAGTATCTCTCATTGATTTCCTGTGATTCCTTGTGCTGAAAGTTAAGCTGGGTTTATCTGCATTGGTGCAAGGCTTGGATTCTGCAGGAGGTTGGACACAGTATCTACACTGAAGAAGTAACTGTAGCTCAGGAGACTTGGCATCCAGTTGTCTGAGGAAATACGTGGACACATCATAAAACTCTGGTTGTTTTAAATGAGAGGATCCCCTGTGGACATAAATAAATCCACTGTAACTCTCCATTTCACTTCTGAGTCCTGTTAAATTCTGTATTATAAAAGCACAGTGATACTGTTTTCTTATGTTGCTGTCAAGCAAACAATGGAGTGAAATTCAATGGAAAATGTTGGCCTTGCTGTCCTAGCCTGGGCACACCTCTGAATGGGAGTTGAAGTGCCTGAATCTCCCTTGCAGAGCTGCAGGCCGCTGTAAAATGTCATCTCACTTGGGAGCTGTTTTCCCTTCTGTTGTTTTATTTGGAAAATTCTCAATATTCCATTGAGTTCTGGAGGCACAGGCTTAGGATTTTGTAATAGGGAAAAAGAGGAACGCCTCTCAAGACTCAGCAAAAAGCTGAAGTGTTTCTGAGAGTCTCTATTTAAAGCAGTAGCAAGTGCTACTGTGAGAGGTTTTTATGTATCTCAAAGCCTAGCTCTGTAGCTAGTAGTGTGTCGGTAAATTAAGGAGTAGCTGAAATTATTTTGTGATGTATCTGGGAAGTGGGTAAAACTTCCGTGCCAGGCTGAAGGTGGCTAAACTCCCTTGCCCTTGGCACAGCTCTGACAGCAGCACAAAGGGAGCGGTAAGCAAATTACTTCAGGTCTTGAGTAACAAGAGATTACTTGGAGATTAGCGATGAGAATTTCTGTAGTTTGAGTGGAAGAGGGAGGAGATTCTCACTTTGCAGACATCCAGTGCAACTCACCATTGCTAGTCAAGCCCAAGGGTGTTGAATGGGAAAAGCTACTAAGAGAAACACTCAAGATGGAGGTAAACTCATCTAACTACAGACTTCCATAGCTGGTCCAGTCATACCAACCCTTTTAAAGGTCAGTGAAGAGAAACAGACACTTCTGCAGGGCAATCCTTTTTCTTATCTCCTTTATATGGCTGCCTTAGGATGAAGTGAATTATACCCGGGAAGTGACTCTTCCTCTTCTTTGACTGTAGAATGGTTCTAGCTAACCAGCTCCGACCAGATCCTTACGGTAAAGGAATCCTCAACTTTGATAAAATCATGCCACCATCAGGCATTTGAACTAGGAAGGAGGACACTCCCCTAAAAAGACTTTTTTACTGTCTTGTAGAGTATGGGATGGGGCTGAGATTATATGCGAGCCTGGAGCCTGGTGCTGTTTTAAAGGTGTAATAGTGGCATAGATCCCTGCCAGCCTGACAAACACGCTTGCTGGTAGGCAAGGGTTCTGTTCAAACCTGTGGATAAGGCTTGAACATCCTTGGTTTATACCACAGTTACGCTTCTGAAAGTTGTCACTTGTTTTTAGTTGTAGTATTGATTTTGTTAAGAAATTCCCATTGTCCTGGCTCCAAGAAACAAAATCACAAACAAGTGCAAGAGTGTATTCCAAAGAGTTCCTGTTTTGTCTGAAAATGGAAGATTACAATAAATCTGTTGTGGTAGTAGGTGATAGATGAGCCCCAGCTTACTACAGTGAGGAATCTCTGATAGATTGCTGGAGCTGGCCATTAGACAAAGCACAGTTGGGACAGAATTTTAATGACCAAATTTTTCTTCCAGAAATGGCAGTGTGTGGAAGATGCCAGTGGAAAGCTCAAGCTACACAAGTGCAAGGGAATGGCGAACTTGGCAGCTGCAGGCAACGGCAAAGGCACCTCCAATATTTTGCCCAAGTATTACAACAGGAATAGTGAAGACTGCAATTGTGAAGAGAACGAATACAAGCTGAGCCATGTCGGACGGAGAAAGAAACTCTTCAAGAAAAGTAAGTGAACCCGCTGTGTCTTCTGTCTCTGCCTTAGAAAACTGTTATGAGTTTGTTCACTAACGTGCGTATTTGTCCTGATTTTCATCAGCATTGAATTCTATCAACATATTTACTGTGTATCTAACTGCGAAACAGTGTGCCTCGTATTGGACAATCAGATCTGAAAATATCTCTGTAGGAAGAGGAGTGTTTTGGTCCAAAATAGGGTCCTATGTTTATGTTTTTTTCCAGACTGGGAAATACAGGACACACACTGAAGTGGCAAGTAGCACATCGTTACACAGGCCATGAAACATGAGCAGTGTTTTACAGCAAATACTCCAGTTTTCAGTAGGTACTGCAATGCTTGGAGCTGTTACTGCAGTAATTTATTTTTAATAAGGATGTGTGTGCTTTGTTATAGAAGCTGCTTGCTTCTAACGTCCTTTTCTTGTGCACAGTCAGCAGAGATGAGGCTGACTTTTAACCAGAGATCACATCCAAAGGGGATGACTCTGTTTCTGGTTTCCTTGGCAGAGATCAGGTGCTTTTTCAGAGAGCCTGTTTCACTGGCTCTGTGTTAAACCTCAGTCGGACTAACATCTATATTTGAAGTACATAGTCTAATTATAGATTAAAGAGGCAAACGGCAGCACAGAATTATTATTCACTTGTAATGTTTCTTTCGTCTCACTCCACAAATACAGAGCCTTAATTATTTAGCAGATTAGTCTTTCTGTATAATGACCTGGCACAAGCTTCAAACAGAGAGTTAAAATTGATTTTCTCCCATTATATTTGCCTTGCAAGCTGATTAGTACCTACTAAGCTAATTTTTAGTTGAAAAAAATTATTGGTTCCAGCATGAAATTACTCAACTGTACTTGCTGTTTAAATATGTGGCACAGCAGATAATCTTTAAATAACACTAGAACTTGTAGTTCAATTACCTTTTTCTTTTTTTTTTTTTTATTTTGAAGTCACAGAGAAGAAAGTTCAGGCATGGGGAGTCAAATAACAGGAGTAGGTAGAAGGCACTTAGAAAAGGAAACCAGTTTAAGTGAGGGCAGCATAGTGCTATCTGATAATACTTAATGCTTACTTAAGTACTTTTCATCGGTGTCATGCTTCCTAAACATTAACTAATTTTCAAACATCCAGAGGAGGTGGTTAAGTGTATAATTACCTTTACTTTATGTGTGAAGGAGGTTGCAGTAGAAAAACTGAAGGTTGCTCCCTGTAGCAGAGAAATCAGAATGGTGGTTTTTTCCCCTATGCTCTGCTCAGAAAAGGCAGAGTTTATATCATACCCTTCAGCTCACTTGCCTCATTGAACAGTAAGGCATAAACTTTAGCAGCCGAAGATGGGATGTTGACAATCATGTTCCCATTGCTTGGGTCTTGAGTGAAATAATTGACTGCACAGATGCTTTGGTTTTCCCTTTGCCCACATCCCGGGTGTGCCATACTGTGGAAGATATTAGCTTGGACCTGCTGACATAGACTCTTTGGTTTGGTGTTGGCTGTTCTTTTACATGCGCTTATCTAATAAATTACCCACTGAATGCAAATGAGCACAAAGCAATACAAGTCAAGGTAACCTATCAAGGTTTTTCTAAACAACTTGCCTAGAAAGCTGGCTCACTGGATTGTGAATGGTAAGAGGGTGACCTGGGTACTCATGATGCGTATTTGGATTTTTGACCTGTTTAATGGACTTGAGATAAAGTGCTGTGTATGCTGGGTTGCATAGTTCTGAGGGCATCTTCGGGCCTGCTAGTCAGAATCTGATGAGTGCATGGGATCATACTGCAGCCCTGCTTCATGTCAGTGAAAGCTATTCATCAGATTGAACAATAGCTAAATAGATAATAGAAGTTTCGAACTGGACTAGGGTCACATCCACATTAATGCTTTAGTTCACAGCGATAGTGTAGATTTGAAGGAAACACCCTGATCACTCCCTTCTGTCATGCACAGTAAAGGTGGATTTGCGGAGAGCAATTTTGACAGATTCTAGTCTACAGTCATTTGCAGAAAACTAGACTGGATACTCTCTTCTAGGGTGCATCGAGTGTGTTGCAAACCTTGATGGTGGGGGTGTGGGGATTGATCTTTCAGAAAGATTAAAACAAGTCATGTGTAGTGAGAACATGTGGTCTAAAAGACCAGGCTACATTGCTGATAAAAGGGCTGAAGCACCAAATGTTTTGAAAAAATAATTACTTTCTAATATAGGCATGGTCTAGACCCATTGTCAGGTGCAACAGTGTTTTTAAATTGAGTAAATTCAGTTGCAAAACAGGGTCATGTCATGTACACGCCATTCGGGCCGTGTCCGAATGCACCATCACCTGCAAAGCTCTTCCGTGCCAGAAACACCCAGGCATTAATATTCGGTATATCTGCGTTTGAGTGTCAGGAATGTTCGCATTTCTGTGTCCTCTTTTTATTCTTTAGTATATTTTTATAAGAAAGATGAAACGAAGCTTTGCAGTAGGAAGAAAATTTGAAGTAATAGTGAGCTGTTAAAATGTGTTGTGGTCTGTTATGTTTTTCTTGCTGTGGATTTGATCTCCTCCTCCTGTGATGAACAAGTGCATGTGATTAAAGGAGTTATTAACCTGCATGTAGGGAAGTGGTGATAGGTCACACAGATGTGTGGACAACAAACAGAAGTGTGTACAAAGGGGCTAGTACATTTTTATTCCAATTTTCATGTCATTCGTTTTTCTTTTGAGGTAGTCTCAATGCTGGAGCAAAATTACCTTCTTTGTTATTTAAAAAACAAACAAACAAACAAAAAACCCAAAACAAAAAAAAACCCATACACACACAATGACAAAAAACACCCAAACAAAACCAAACCTGAAAATCAGTTACTTTAAAGATAATCCATTCAAAGTATTAATTTTTAATGGCAGTTGTGAGAAACTGCATGTAAGAAAGTTCTGGGGTTGTTGTTTTTTTTTTCTCTTTGAAGTATCTAGACACACAGATTCAAAATAAGATTTCTAGAAATCCCTAGGTACATAATGGCTAAGAAAAAACACCTCTAAACCTTTGTCTGTATTTGTAGACACTTGATATATTTTTAAAAATTTGACTTCAAAGTGCCTCATTTTACTTTGGTGTTGTAGAGAAGCAGCATTTCTTTCTATAAAGTTCTGGAAAATACATAGACATTACTGGGAAATGTCAAGCAGGAATTCATGGGGCTAGCGGTGGATACTTTCCTCTTGGCATGTGTAGAAGCAGAATCCTTGCATGCCAGTTTATTCTGTCATTGTTGAGATGCTGGAAAAGACATCAGATTCAAAGTTCCTACGTAGAGGAAGTGTCAGGAGGGAAGACCAAGAGTTCTCTGTCTTCTGTAGTGTTCCCGCTGAGTGCCATGCAGTAGTTACAGTTGGTTACAGTTGTCTTAGTTATCCCTGAGGGAACTGTCATTTCCAAATGATCTCAGTGTTAAATCAGAGATTTGGTGGCTGCAAAATAAGTAACGAGGCTCGAGATGAGGATGTGTGGTGAGTTAAATATAAACTCGAAGGCTGGGCATGTTTGTATCAGATATGAAGTTTATGGGTTTATAATACAACATTGCCTTGCTTTATTCAGTTGAATAATAGTTTTGGATACTGCAGTTCATGCTTTCACTAGACAGTGTTGAAACCCGAGATGCTACCAAAAAGCAGTTGTAAAAAATCAAGTGTGTTTGAGTCTCTAGACTGACTGGGGAATTCTGGACCGCAACAACATACTTCCTTGCAGGTTCCAGCAAAGACGAGCATGCTTGTCGGGTGGTCTGGGAAGACACAGCTGGATGAGTGGGGCACTGAAACGTAGTTAGCTTTCTTAGGTTTGAATTTCTCAGGACTCTGTTTCCAGACTCAATTCTGAGGATGCAACTTTTTAGCAGTGCCATCTATAAGACAGCTGGCTTCTGTAAGGCCGGAGGAAGCGAGGCATCGAGACTCATAGTCCTTACCAAAGCCAGACTTTGAAAAAGGGAATATATAGGTGTTCTGAGCCAAATATTTAACAACCCTTGATCAACTTTGTGGGTTGTGTACACAGGTGAATGAATTGGAGAGTAAAACTTGAACCTGGGGGAGGATCGACTAATAAGTAATTAGACATTGGTATTTATGCCTGCAGTGCACTTGGCAGGTGTGAGAGCACAGCACAGATGAATATTGATCTTATTAAATATTTTAACCTCTTCCTCTGAAAATAACGGGGTTTGGTACTAATCACAGCGCTGAGTCTGCACAGTGGATAGCACGTTGCAATAAAGCGATACACAAAGTCCTTTGTGCTGTCTCACTCCAGACCAATTTGTTCGTTGTAAGGCTGGTTAGTTTGGCTGCAAGGGAGGAGTAACTCCGGGCTTCTAATTCTTCAGGGACATGTATAGACAACAGTTCCCTGCAGCTATCTGCTGAGGTCCAACAGGCTGGATTGGCACATGAGACTTGGAAGGATGGTAAGTTGTTAGTTGGCTGAGCTTAACAAGGTGAAATGAGGGAACAATTAAAGAAATGGGAGTTTATACTTTGAGTGTAATTGTTAGGGCGTAGCTTTTTGGAACTTCCTCCTACTTCTGAAAAGAAGGGATTTTCCTTCTCATTTAGTCAAACATTTCCTGAATGGATGCCTGAAATAGGGCTGGTCTTTGGGTTGGTTTTTTTTTTTTTTCCCTGCAGCAGTGACTCACCTGGCCTAATATCAGCAATAAACTTTGAACCACAGGTGGAAAATGTGCAAAGCCAGACAATCCAGCTGGTATTCTACTTTCTGTGTGCGGTGCTGACAAGAATATAGTGCTTGGACCAGTTTCAGGTGGGAGGAGATGTTTATTTCTCTTCCCACAGTCTGCAAAATGCCTTTTGAGACCTTGTAATCCATTTGGAATTAATGTAAGGCTGCTTGAAAAAAGTCACCATGCGTTAATGTACCGAAGCATGCCAATTGACATGAATATTTCTTTTGTCAATTTTGGTTGTTCTGCCTCCCATTCCTTTATTTTTTTTTTTTTCCCTACTTGTTTTGCTGGGAAGATTATCCCATAGAGAAAATTGGCTTTTCTGTGGAGCTTGGGATTGCAAGAATGGTTGGTCTTCTCATCTGGCGCATTGGTTGAGTTTTCGCCTTAGCACGTTGCAGAAGCAAGTCCCATCTCGTGAGATGTGCTCTGTGTTTCGGCTCTGTGCAAGGAGACATGACTGGAAGAGCCAAGGGACTGTTGTTTCCAGTAATGTCTTAGATGACTGCAAGCCTCATATACAGAGGAAAGACTGAGCACTGGGCAGGGGGGAGAAGACAGGCTGTGGTGCTTGGGTTTTACTTTTTTCTGAAAGAACGAGATGATTATACTTAGTGTAATGAACAATTTTCAGCAATGGTTGGCCGTAAGCAGGAAATAGAGACCCCATCATACAATAGGGAAGTTTAGATCTGGATTTAGACTTAACTGCTAGGATATATTTGTGCCATTCCAGACCAAACAGAAGAGGAGCTCTGGGGATTTGGGCCGGGACAGAGAACTTTGGAAAGCAGTAATGGTGAAAAGATCAATGGGAATCTTGTACTGCGTAGTGAATTCACAGCAGATGTTTTGTTTTGTCTTTGGGCTGCAAATGCAGAAGCAAAGTCTGAGGGGGTGCATAGCACTGGAGGGTGGTGCTTCATGTAGAAACTCACTGGCTGGTCTGCAGATCAGGAAAACGATTGCAAAGAAAAGCCTTAGATATGGATAAAAGTAAAGATTCAGATCTTAATCCCTCCTGAAAAAAATTGAGCATCTTACCTTGAAGAACGAGCATAGACTTGAGAAAAGGCTCGGGCTGAATACGGGGAATACTTGGGACAACTTCAGGGACGTGTTGCAGGAGTCCTAGCAGCAGAGCATCGTACGTGGACAGTGGAAAACAACAGAGAACTACTGGGTAAGGATGACCTAAGACCTTGCTGCGTGAACTGTCATGGTTAGTTTTTAAGGCCCTACTGCCATCTAGTGACTCCTAGGGGAAGGAGCAGAGTCTCTGAACGAGCTGATGGCTCCCAAAGTGGTACTGGACCAGAACATTTTCTTTCCCCTCTGCCATCTTTGTGCAATTGCATTATGTCTGCCCCTTCTCTCGTGCTCTAAGGTACCCATCTATCCATGCAAAAGGTAATGAAGCAGCAGCTCTGAGGGCGGCTGCAACAAACACCGTTCGTCATCCAGTTAATTCCAAATGTCACAGTATGGGCTCTTGTGGTTTTTTCTCCCAAGAACCACAAAGAGGACCAAGTTGTAACATGCTGTTTCTTTGCTTCTGAATCCTTTCATTTCCCTTTTCGTGCAGAGTACAAACCAAGCTACGTGCGGAATCGCTCGATCCGTTCCGTGTCTGTTGAGCTGGATGGAGCCGTTTATAACTTGGGCTTAGAGGATGGGTACCAGCCTGTCTTACCAAGAAACATCACCAAGCGGCACAAGGTGCAGAGGGCTGTTCTTCGTGAGGAGGAAGATAAAGACATGGGGGAATACAGCGGCACTGGTGGCATTGCAGAGTACACAGCCCCTAACCTAATCAAAGTGACTCACAGGTGGGTGTGCGTCGTACATTTCTGCAGGCTTTTGCTGCTTTACATAACTTGGGGTAGGGTATTGTGTCCCTTTTGGATGCCCAGTCTAGCTTCACTAAAACCCTTACTCTCATCTGTGCAGCAGCTTTTGGGTTTGTTTTAGTTTTGTCATGTACAGAGGGGCATGAAGCTACTGAAGAACTGCAGCGGTGCCTTTATGTCTTCTGCACGTCACTGGTCAACGCACGTTTCCAGTGAGGACAAGCACAACTTTGCAGCAGTTGTGCCTACACCTGTCTGAAACCGGGAGAGGCTCTGCCCATGGAACTCTCGGCGTGCAGCGCGTAACCTGGCCTGGCTGAAGACCAGAGGCTCTAATTGGAGTACGACCTAGTTTTGTGCCATTGGTTGCTTTGTGTTTCAAACACCAAATGAGTCCTAAGGGAGAAAGCAGCCTCTCAGAGCTTTCTGCAGCCAGTGCTGGGAAAGGAAAATCTGTATTATGAATGAACTTGGATGGACCAGGAGCATTGGGGAATGGAACAGAGAGGTGAGGGAATTGTCTGGGCACTCTTAACAGCTAAAAGTCTTCCCTCAGTGTGCAAGTCTAGGGCCTGATGGTGTATCTTCAACTGTACTTAATTAGTTTAGTCCCCATTTCCACTTAGGAATTATCAGGAAATCCTCCAGTCATTATTGATTATGTGCACTGAATTGTTTAATGACTAGCTCATGTAAACATGCATGAGCCAGTTAGCTGGGGTTGAAACCTGTGGTTTCCACTTGACTTCTGTTTACAGGCTTAGAGGCTCGCTAATACGAGGAAACGTAGCTAGGCTGACATCAGAGAATTGTGCCCTTATCCCAGCTCTCATGAACATTCTGGACCCATAAATCACTGTCTGTGCTTTTCTTCTGGAACAAGTTAAATTGATTTTTGCTGCCTTACTGGGTGATTCCCAAATCCTTACAAGGAACTGTCAGGAAGGTTGTGCATAATTCATGAGGAGACCCCAGGAACACTTGCAGAAGAGGCAGAACTTGGACAACATGCATGAGGTGGTTTAAAGAAAATAAAGGAGTATTGAAAACACTTGGCTTTAATTTAAACAAGCATTCCAAAATGACTACATGGTATTTGTTGACTCCTAATAAACTTCTCAGGTAAATCTGTCAAGCGTTTTTTGTTCGCTTGTTTGTTTTTGAAAGCATTTCAAAACCTGGATTGCAGTAGAAGTTAGTGAAACATAAGGACTTAAAATTGTCAGAGGGTATTTTGCCTTCGAAGGCAGGGAAGTACCTTTGAAAAATTTTATCCCTTTTGTAGAAAAGAGCAAAATTTCTTTGTTGGTTTGTTTGTGGGTTGTTTTTTTTTTCTTTTCTTTATGGTGTAGCAATACATCTTCTAAAGAAGTACATTATCCTTACCCCTACCCCTGTATCACTTAATTATGCGTTGGGAAATTGCTTTTGAGTAAAGCTTTCAGTGCTTGCTAGTTAGTAGAGATTATTTATGTAGACAGCCTAATGAATAAGCAAGAACTCTGCGCAGCACAATTTACATACAGAAATTACACAGTCAACAGGTTCTGCTTGATGGGAATATTCTCCTTGAATTTTTCTACTTCTGAAAAATTTCCATGGCAACTGAAACCCGAACTTCTCTCCTGGCTTGTAGCACACTCTTAGTCTCTTGAATGACCATTGTTGTTTTGAATTCTGCATGTCATTTCCAGTCTGGCTTCTCATCTGTCCTGGAGTTATTGTTATTAAAGGCAGCTGTTGGTATTGCTCTGTGTGCGTATCCGCTATAATAAACGTTGCTTTTCCCTACCAAGGTGCTACATCCTGGAGAATGATACCGTTCAGTGTGACACGGATCTGTACAGGTCACTGCAAGCTTGGAAGGACCATAAACTCCATATCGACCACGAGGTCAGTGATATTATCCGCCATGCATTTTCAGTGTGTTTTTAGCATGGTTTTCTGCGGGCTGATAGGATCATGCTGACTGTGTTTGTGTGTGTCCGCCTCTGGGTATCTTTGTTTCTCCCTGGAACCTTTTGAACTTGCTGGCTGATTTCAGAATAGGTATTTCAGAGACGATTAAGTTAGTACGAGTTTGTGAAGACAAGATGCTGAGTGGAGGAGAGAACTGCAACTGAAGGGACAGCTGCAAAATGTCATAAGCCTTATGAGATAAATGAGACTTATAAGTGTCCCTGTCCTGGGAAAAATTTCATCTGGACTTTTTTTACGTCTTATTAGCTCTGCTCCGCAATGTATCTCTCAAAAAGAGACCTTCAACTGTCAAACATAAGCCCCAGGAAAAGTGAGCTTCATTAGTTTCTGTGCCTCTAGAATTACTTATTTTGCTTCTTTGTGTTGAACCCTCGCACTTTGGAATTGAATGTGTTTTTCCTTAGGCTTGTGTACATGAAGAACCTGGAGATAATTTTCCCTATGTAATTTGCCTGTAAAACTTAATCTGACATTTTTGTCGCTAATAGTGAGGAGTATAAGCTCGAAGCCTTCACACAGGCTGTGTACGAAAGAGGGAGTCTTCTAAGGACTGGGCAACAGTGGAACAAATGCTGAAGAGAGGCATAAAGAAAGGACTTGCTGTGATCTCATACTGATTTACATGAATTCACAGCACATTCCTATGTAAGGACTTGTTGGCCCCCTTTATGGTACAGACTGACACGTAGTAAGGCAGCGAGACACTGAAAAACTTCCTATAGCTCTGGTAGGTTTAACGAAGGGCCATTTCAATATCACTGTCCTCTTCTAATTCTTTTTGCTTCAGAAAATGTAGGCGCTATGGAGTGCCAAAGAACATGAGAGCTCACTGCTGTCCTGTTGTGTTCCCGATTTAGGGTCACAGGGCTGGATTCTTTGTGTATTTTTCTTGAACACTGTCCTGTCTGTGCTTCCACTAGACTTCTGGTCATGTGCTTCCACTAGGCTTATGGTCACCGATGTCTAACGGCAGTTTTGCAGTGACTGTGCTGTTCACACTGGATTATTTGGGGTTTGCTGCTGTATAAAGAACCGAGGTAGAAGCCCATAATACCCACCTGAGTGGAAATGGGCTGCACTGTGTGTGGGCTAGGCTGAACAAAAGCAGGAGCTTCATTGACTGAAAAAAATAGGCACTTAAAAATACACCGTGTGGGCAGCACAATGAACTGCTAATCCACGTCCCACGTCGCCAGACTGCCATGCAAAATGGTGGAGCCTTGCGGCTTTTCTTTTTCAGAGAGCAGCTCTGAAGAGGGGACTTGAGAGCACTCCCTCCCCATCCCCTTCTCAGGTTCATAACAGGCTAAAATTCAAGGGATTCGTTTTCCTTTGAGTAACCTTTCTCCCCTTGCAAATGTGCTGTAGAGCACAAGAGCAGAAATCACAGTGGATCCAGGCATGGCTGTCTACCCGAGGCTGTGAGCCCTCCCGTTTCCCCCAGTGCCACGTTCCGCTCTCACATACAGTAATCACACCAGGCAGGCTGTTCCAGCGAGGATTCCTCCTCCTGTAGTTTCCTTTTGGGAAGGTAGATAATCTGAAATGCTTGTTAGTGGTGGGATTCATGGGAGGTGGTGAAAAGGAAGCATTTGATGACAATGGAATGGGTTTGAGAAGGGTTAGAATAAGACTAAATCCTGCTGTATTTTTTTTAACCTGTATCTTTGCTTTTTTTTAGATAGAAACTTTGCAAAATAAAATAAAAAACCTGAGGGAGGTGAGAGGTCATCTGAAGAAGAAGCGACCTGAAGAGTGTGATTGTAACAAGATAAGGTATTTCTTGTGTCTTTCAGAGTAATTATTTGTGGTGTGCGACTGTAGCTGATTTATGCCTTCACAGGACAGATCAGAATCTTTTCTGAAGTGGTGGCCTACATACTGTAGCCTTGTGTAACGCTTTCTGGGGGAGCTGGGCTGCTGCAGAAGCACAAGGGCCAACTTCTGCCAGGCAGGAGTTTAATTGCCTGTGTGTCAAGTGGTGGTGATGTAACAGGACGTGTGACATGCCTTACGAACCAGTTAGGTGTGCTCTTGCACCACAGATGCTGCTGTTAGAGACCAGAGATTAATATTTTCAGCTGCAGGCTTTTTTCTGAAAGCTTGCCTTCCATAAGGGCAAATGGTCACTGTGGTGCAGTGTTACACAAATCTGTTTTAAAAAGAACAGTGTGTAAAGTATGTGGAGTAACGGGGCAGGGAGGTGAGGGAATTTCTTCCCGTTCAGTTTTCTCAAGGCTGGATGTATTGGCTCCTGGAATGCCATCACTGCAATATTTAGCAGCTATATCCGGTGGGAGAAGCAGGAATTTAACAGTTGGTGCAGAGTAACTGTATTTTTGTAACCACTGCTGACTTCATTCACAAATCATCTGTACTAGGGATAAAAAGATCTGGTGCATGAAGTGCACCAGGTGCTGAAGTAGTGATTAGGCATTAAGGCCTCTGCAGAGCTGGTTCTTGTAGTGCCAAATATTTGCAAAATGGCTGTAGGATCAGCCCACCGACTGCATGGAAAGCAGGTTCGAGCACATGCCTGAAACCTGCCAGGGAGTAAGCAAGCTCTTGCTCTGCAAATCAGCACAGCAGAAAATCTTTCAAAATGGAATGTTAACCCGCATGGAATTTGCCCCTGAGAAAGCTGCTCAGAAAGAAACCAGGAGCAGCTTCTCCTGATGGTAACTGATCCCAGAGCAGTCTCGGAGGCTGCTGTGAGCCAGGTCTCACCACCCGCCAGCCAGTGGCAGTATGGCAGCAGCTGTACGGGTGTCACCGTCCTCGAATGTGCTCCCAGCCCCGAGGCAGCCGTGCTCTTGTCTGTGCCTAAAGCAGCTTCTGTGAGAAGTAGCCTCTGTCAGAGGGTCTCTCCTCTGTCTCACCGGTGTAACGGAAGGAGTTTTTGAGCATAACACTTCAGCCCTCGGAGGCACAACACGCCCTGCATTACAGACACGAGGTGCGTAGGCGTACACAGCTTCAGCAATAGGTCACTAAAATACGGAGAACATCGGTTTCTTGGGTTATGTCAACGTGTACATGGAACCTGTGGCAAAAAGTGATTAAAATTAAATCAGTATTGTTATAAATGGCAAATCCCCCCCAAGTTTATATTGTTTTATAATCCATTGCTTTCAAACCTGATGTTAACGTGACTTTAGCTAATCTATACTGTAATGATGAAGTTATTTTTATAGCAAATGTTTTACAGTAAATTTAAAGAATGTTGCCTTTCAGGCCCAATAGAGGAAGCACCGACGTTTGTGCACAGCCTTATTAAGATGAATAATCACACTGAAATCAATGGAGTTAATTGTCTGAGTTATGTATGTTTAAGTGTTTGCAGAATTGCATTGAATTGGGATTTAGTGCTTAGGATTAGTTAATGAAGTACCACTGTGTGAGATAAAAATCGATCGAAGATAGATAGTTCTGTAATTACCTTATTTTGTTAATATGCCATAAGGATTAAATTTAAAAGGTTTTATTTGAAGGGAACGTTAGCCTGACAACTAACTGAATTGTGGTGTACTGTTCAGAAAGTAACATTTATTGAACTTAATTTGTCTTTGCTGCTGGGTGGTAACTTTATCATCCTGAAAATATGGCCATTGACTAAGGCTGTTTTGTTGTTGTTGTTTTTAACTTTGGAAACTACACAGAAAGGAAATTTTCTGCAAAAATCTTGTAAGAGTCTCTGGAGACAGAGCCAAAACAGTAGAGCCACCCAGCTAGAATGTGTGTGTATGCTTACACCCTCCATACTCAGGCTGTATTAGACACTGCTGTTGCTGGGACGGTTCCCTGCATCTTGTTGAAGTTTTCCTGCAACTTCTAGCTAGTAAGAATGAAAAAACCCAACTCCACCAAGTACAACCATACTGTTCTTTCAGGAGAATGGCAGGAAGGTGGTGTGAGCTTGTCATCTTGTCACCTGAACAAATCGGGGACACTCAGTTGAAGAAGTGTCGTAACTGAATTGTGTATCTGTTGATTTTATCTGCCCCGTATGGGGAAACAAGAACCAATGACAACTAAAATTGAAAACTGCAGCTGGAATAGCCCCTGGATACATCTTGCAGTTCAGTAAGGGGGCACCAGATGTCACTGTGGACAAATGGTCGAAGGAAAGGCAGGCGCACAACAAGGCTCACGTGTGCCTGACACAGTCTGGCAAAGCTGCTTTGTATTCGTCGCACACCCTGAATGAATAAATTGAAGTGACACTGGATTAAATCGGCTCCAAATCCAGTATGATGCTGTGGTATGAACAGGAGCAAATGTCTTTCTGTTGTTCATCAACAATGCTGGTTTTATTTTCCAGTTACCATTCGAAACACAAAAGCAAACTGAGGCACAAGGGATCTAGTCTTCATCCTTTCAGGTAAGTGCAGGCCGGTTCCTTTGAAAGAGGACATGCAAGGACGTTAACGCTGGTCAGTTACAAACGACGCAGAAGTAGGAGCATTTCCTTTATCCTGCATTAAAAAGCATAAACACGCAGACACCCGGGCAAGGAACCAAGGCCATGTTGAAATGCCTGTAAATTCCGAGATAAGGTTCCTGGTTTGGGCAGTGTCACGTCACAGACTCCAGGCAAGCCTATAAGCCCCTGTGGCTTCATTTTTTTTTTTTCAGTGACATTGAATTGCAAAGAGTTCTATGCAGAGACATTCGGGAGAGAAGTCATCTAATTAAAAAATACCAGTTACTTCTTTCTTTCAAAGCAGCGTATTTTATTAGCTGCTTCATTCTTTTTAGGTGTGCTCAAGTATAACAGAGCCTGCATGACCCTAATGCTTCTGTCATGTGTGCAGGAAAGCCCTACAGGAGAAGGACAGGCTGTGGCTGCTTCGAGAGCAACGACGAAAGAAGAAACTGCGCAAACTCCTGAAGAGAATAAAAAATAACGACACGTGCAGCATGCCTGGTCTGACCTGCTTCACCCACGACAACCAGCACTGGCAAACTGCTCCCCTCTGGACACGTAAGGATACCTTAAACTAAGTAATGGGCCAGCGGGTACTGGCTGGCCTGGGCCAGGGTGCCGGGTTACTGGAAGTTATCCATGTCATTGCTTATGCAGCCAGAGCCACACAGTCTTCCTCATACTGAGCAATCCCTGTGTCAGTGTTGGCGTTATCCTTGCAGAGAAGGCAAGGGAGGTAAGACCAATTGTCTGAAGACAGCAGCACAAGTCTTACGTCTTTGTAACTCTTCAATTTGCAGTGGGCCCTTTCTGTGCCTGTACCAGTGCCAACAACAACACGTACTGGTGTTTGAGGACAATCAACGAGACCCACAACTTCCTGTTTTGTGAATTTGCTACTGGATTTTTGGAGTATTTTGATCTCAATACCGATCCGTATCAGGTACCTGATCATGGAACAGCTCAAGGAACACATCGTTGTTCCTTACCGATGAGAAGTTGAAATGGTGGGGGGTGTAGACAAGCCTAAATCACATCATGTAGTACGATTTGGCTTCTTTCGTGTTACCAATCAGCCACGCGTATTCCGTCCCTGAAAGCGACTGAACTACGGAGCAGTAGTGACTGACCAGAACCCCTGTTTATTGCAGCTCATTAACGCGGTGAATACGCTCGATAGAGACGTTCTCAATCAACTGCACGTCCAGCTCATGGAGCTGAGAAGCTGCAAAGGGTACAAACAGTGCAATCCAAGAACCAGGAACATGGACCTGGGTAAGCGCCTCTCCCGTTACGCTCAAAAACTCCCCAAAGGAAACGGGGCTCTCACCATTATGAGCTTGCATCAACCCAAATGATTTTTGGGTCTGTTTATACTAGTAACGTCCTGCTGAGGCTGCATGCTCAGATTTTTGTATTTGTTCATTTCTGTTAAGTAATGTCTCGTCAGTGAAGGACGGTACTGGAATAGTTCAAGTGTCGCTGAGGTGCAGGGGCAGGAGATGAGGAAGGAACAAAACTGGTGGGAGAGGGAAAGCACGTCCTAACAGCCACTGCAGAGCTCACGGGACACTTCAAGGCGGAGGGGACTTTGGGAGTTCATCTGCCCCACACAGGGTCAGCTGTGAGGTTAGTCCAGGTTACTCGGGGCTTGAGCCAGTCGGATCTTGAAAACCTCCCAAGGAAGGAGATCGCACCTCTCTGGGCAACCGGCTTGGCACCTGAGCTTCAGCAGCCCGGCTGAAGGCGCTATTTCCAGACACACTTAGAGCCAGCAACTGCCTTAAACGGGACGTAGGCACCAGCCTCCTTCTTGAAGCTGAAGCTGAGGGGCTTTCCCCGTGGTAGCGTGAGGCAGCTGTGAAAGAACAGCACTGCACCACCAGCTGTGCTTTTGTAACGGTGGATTTGGATTCCAAACAGCACGTGGGTCTCTACTCTCGTTCTAGGTTAGTTTCATCATTTCCCATTCCTTAAATTTTCTCTGCGTCTGCTCCCAGGGGCTCTGTTTTTCATACTGCTGGTGATTTTTATTCCTTTTTTTAAAAATGTTTAATGATGATAGGAAACCAAAAGGTACAGTTATTTTAAAATTGCATTTCTTATAGGCCTCAGTACAATTAAATTGACATAAGAAATGCTGTTTTTAAAAAAGTATAT